ACAACCACCTGGAACTCCAGCTCTGGTGCCCTCTTCTGGCCTCCTTGGGCACTGCACTCGTGTGCGCATATCCCCTCCCATACATACACAGAGTTCTGAAGTCAAAACACCAGGAACCAGGACTTTTGAGAATACCTTTCTAAGTGTCTCCTGAAAAACCACCCAATATTATGGTTATATCCTGACACGAGGGAGATGAGGGCCCTGGAGTATACCTGTAAGAAGCTACCATTTCCTGTGTTCCAAGGACTCTGGAGTCCTATGGAGGCAGTCCTGATGGGAATAGATAGGTCCCGCTGGTTCCATGTGGTGATTCTGAAAACATGTCATCCAGACAAGTCGTTTTCTTGCACTTCTGTTTCTAGTCTAAGGAAGAAGTCTGAATAGTGGACCTGGAGTTGTACAACTCTGTGTTTATGTGTGTGCGTGTGCACATGCATTCTGTGTATGTGTGCATGAGTACAGCATATGTGTGGAAGCCAGAGATTGATGTCACGTGTCTTCCTCAATCACATCCACCTTGTTATTTGGGGACACGGTTTCTTACTGAACCTGGGATTCTGTGATCGGCTTGACTGCCTTGTGGGTGAGCCACTGAGTCCTCCTATCTCTGCCTCTCTAGCACTGGGCTTATATAGGTATTGTTATATGTGGGTGCTAGGGTTTGGCCACAGGTACCAAAGGGGCCATCTCACTTTTTGTTCAACTGAAAGCTGCCACTAAAAGCTAATCCACAGGTCTGGGGTAGCATCAGCAGTGAAGGGTGTTTGCATTTCTCCAGCAGTAGAGCCAGCTTTCAGTGGCCTGAGTACACCCCACCAAGTGCATTCATTTGCCAGCAAGCAGGGCGGTGAGCCCCCTAGCACAGTGTGGTTGATTATTTAAGAGAGCGCCGAGGATTCTGGCATCCTTTCAGGCCACGGCTGAAAACATGGACAAGAACTTGCGGAGGCTCGAGGTCGTTCATAGAACAGGGCTCGTGTCCTGCTGTTTATTTGCTCACGAGGATCTGCCAGGGCATTGGAGGAAACGCTCAAGCCTTTGAGCTGTGTTCTCGAGGCAGAAGACAGAAGGCGGGTGATCGGGATGCTTGGGGGAATGAGCCTGCTTCAGGAAACCGCTTATAATGATGATTTAAAAATCTGATGTGTGGGGAGAATCTGCATCCAGAGTTTGACATTCCATGACGGATAGGAGCCAGGAACTCATTTCTTACCCACGACCTAGAGAGAGTCACTTCGGGAAGTCAGCAGGATATTTGGTAGGTGTTCTGGGGAACTGGCTCCAATGGGGAGAGGAATGATGCTGCTGCAAATAATTTCTCACACTATTATGAGTATCTGTCATGATGGCAAACATCGGCACACTGTCCCTAGGTTTCCGATGCTCATTTCTAGGGGTGCAGGAGATGGAGCCCCCGAAAATTAAGAAATTAAGGTATGGATCTATATGTGGTGTTTAGACAGGCAACTCCAGCCCTGGAAAGACCAAGGCAGAAGTCTGTGAGTTCCAGGCTAGTTATAGGCTATGTAGTGGGACCCTCTCTCAAAATGCCAGACAAAATCAAGGTTAGGATGTGTTGTTTTGCACCCTAAAAGAATAGTAGCTGTCAACTAGTAAGTCTAGTGTTCTGTGTGTGTGTGTGTGTGCACGTGTGTGTGTGCACAGATATGCATGTATGTGTATGCACACATGTGTTGAAGCCCAGCAGACAGCTTTGAGTTGAGCTGTTCCTTAGTAGCCATTCACTTTATTATTGAGGCAGAGTCTCTCAGTGGCCTGGGGCTCACATGAGTTCTGGGAATTGAACCTTGGTCCTCACACTTGTATGGGAGGCACTTCACCAGCCAAGCTAACTCTTTGGGTCCAAGTTTAGTGTATTCTGATATGAATTTTCTTTAAAAAAAAAAGCATTTCAGCTATTTTTAGTGATTAATAAGGTATAAGATTTTTTTTTCAACCATGTTTTAAAAGTAATTTACTTTGCTGGTCTCTTAATTGAAACTTTACTTTCTCCTAGATTCAAGCTTTTTTTTTCTTTTTTAAATATAACCTTGTCTCTAGTGTTGTACTAGCTGTGAATACAGTTTCCTTGGTAGGTTGTTCTTTCCAGAAAGGGGAGAAAGGGACAGACAGTGTGCTGTCCTCAATGAACTTCCTATTTTTTGTCCCCCCAATGGAGACATAATAATTCTTTTTTGGTAATTAAATTGATTTTATTTAGGGATTTTTCCTTTTTATTGAGCTTTACATTTTTCTCTGCTCCCCTCCCTGCCTCTCCCCTCCCTTTAGCCCTCCCCCATGGTCCCCATGCTTCCAATTTACTCAGGAGATCTTGTCTTTTTCTATTTCCCATGTAGATTAGATCCATGTATGTCTCTCTTAGGGTCCCCATTGTTGTCTAGGTTCTCTGGGATTGTGGTTTGTAAACTCGTTTTCTTTGCTTTATGTTTAAAAAACACGAGTGAGCACATGTGATAATTGTCTTTCTGGGTTTGGGTTACCTCTCTCAAAATGATGTTTTCTAGATCCATCCACTTGCCTGCAAATTTCAAGATGTCGTTATTTTTTTCTGCTGTGTAGTACTCCATTGTGTAAATGGACCACATTTTTCTTATCCATTCTTCAGTTGAGGGGCATTTAGGTTGTTTCTAGCTATGACAAACAATGCTACTATGAACATAGTTGAGCACATATCCTTGTGGCACGATTGAGCATCCTTTGGATATATACCCAAAAGTGGTATTACTGGGTCTTGAGGAAGATTGTTTCCTAATTTCCTGAGAAATCGTCACACTGACATCCAAACGGGTTGTACCAGCTTGCTTTCCCACCAGCAATGCAGAAATGTTCCCTTTTCCCCACAATCTCTCCAGCATAAGATGTCATCAGTGTTTTTGATCTTGGCCATTCTTACAGGTGTAAGATGGAATCTCAGAGTTGTTTTGATTTGCATTTCTCTGATGACTAAGGATATTGAACATTTCCTTAAGTGTCTTTCAGCCATTTAAGATTCCTCTGTTGAGAGTTCTCTGTTTAGGTCTGTACTCCATTTTTTTTTAAATTGGATTATTTGTTTTTTTTGATGACCAATTTCTTGAGTTGTTTGTATATTTTGGAGATCAGTCCTTTGTCTGATGTAGGGTTGGTGAAGATCTTTCCCCATTCTGTAGGCTGTTGTTTTGTGTTGTTGACCATGTCCTTTGCTTTACAGAAGCTTTTCAGTTTCAGGAGGTCTCTCAGTGTCTGTGTTGCTGGGGTTCTATTTAGGAAATGATTCCCTGTGCCAATGTGTTCAAGTGTACTTCTTACTTTCTCTTCTATAAGGTTCAGTGTGACTGGCTTTATGTTAAGGTCTTTGATCCATTTGAACTTGAGTTTTGTGCATGGTGATATTTTCATTCTTCTACGGAGACATAATAATTCTATGTATTTGGTAGATACGGTGGGACATTTAAACGAATGTCGTATCAGGATCCAGTGAGGGTAATTGCCGTATCTACCACTTCAGATTCTCCTCATTCCTTCGTGTTGGGAACATGGAAAGTCTTCCTACCCGCTGAGGAGAGCACACAGTCTGTCTTGAATCCCTAGATGACCTTGAGCTCAGAGACTCCTCTCTGCAGTGCACGCACGAATTTTACCACAGCCTTCTGTGTCTCAAGCCAGTCAAGCTGGGCTTTGAACTTGGGCCCAACCAAAGTGCATGCCGGCAGATTTCCCATGATTCCCCTGATTCTTGGACTGAGTCAGGGCCGTAGACGTGTTTTATGCATTGCTTCCTCCTTCAGCCGAGTGTACCCAGTGTGATAGTCTGAGACCCTCTGTCATTCTTTCTTTGGTAAAGAGGATGTTTAATGTCAACCCTGTTCATGTAAGATGTTCCATGCAGTCACCCATTTACCCTGTGCGCCAACAGGTTAGGGGGCTGCCTCGGGGTTGGTGACAGTTCATTCATTCATTCATTCATGACAGCGTCTCATGTTTCTCAAGATGACTTTGAACTCACTGTGGGGCCAAAGATGACTGAACTTCTGATCTCTGTACCTCCCCAGGGCTAGGATCCCAGGCAGGTGCTACCATGGCTGCTTTGTGTGGGTGAAGAAGGAACCCAGGGCTCTGTGTGTGTTGGGCAAGCACTCTCCCAACGGCGCCACATCTCTAGCTATGTTTTTAGAGATATGACATATTTTCTTTTTGAAAACAAACTAAACTGAACTAATGCAGAGCCCTTCGCGATGAACTCGACATCAGAACTTTAAATAAAAACTGGCTAAGTATGATGCAAAACCATGCTTGGGGTCCAAATGGAAGGAAACATGGGGACTATTGGGCATTATTTAAAATGTTGGCATTTTCTTATCATGCATTTTCTTTGTTCTGGGACTCGGGATAGAGCCAGGACCCTGCATGTGCTAGGCAGGCGTTCTACCCCTCTCATACATCCCTAGCCCCATTCTGGATTCTCTGAGCATTAATTTTGAATTTAAAAAAATTGCATGAAGCTATTTATCTTGATGCCTGCGTCTCTTGACACCTCTTGGTGTGACCGTCCTCACCCTGTCCCTGCTTCACACTCTTCCTTATGTACCACGAAAGGAACACACTGCTACATTGGAGTTTTCAGATCCATAGAGTCACCATAACTGTGCAAAAGGGGAGAGGAAGGAGTCGATGCTGGGTCAGGGGTCCGTGGGTTGCAGACAAAAGCAAGCGCCAGTGGACAAACTGGGACTTCACAGGATGTAACAGAAACGGCAAGTCCCTTGCTCTGAGCCTCATTTTTTTTTTTTTTCGTAACCTTTTTTTTTTTTTTCCTGAACCACAGAATAGTGGCCCACACCTACCTCAGAAGACTGAGACTTTTATAACAGGCCCACGTTGGTTAGGTGATAGTGGTGGTAGCCTCACAGTATAGATTGACAGTAACACCCTCACGTGCACCGTCTGCACCGGACAGACTCTTTGGGTGGTGACATTGTCTGAACTGTGTCTTGTAGATATCCATGATGGTGATGGGAGCTCCAGCAGCAGCCACCAAGGCCTCAAGAGCACGGCCAAGTGGGCAACCTCCTTGGAGAATCTTCTGGAAGATCCAGAAGGCGTGAAGAGATTCAGGGTTTGTCTTTTCATTGTTCATCGGAACTGACACAATAGGAAAATCTTAGATATGCGTATGATGGGGGTGGGGGCACAGGGACCAGGACAACGATTACCACTGTCTACTCCGGCTAGAGACTAAGAACTGCCCATCTTTCACGACCACTTTGGACTTCCAAAAGGACATGCAGCCTGTCTCTGGTTTTCATGTATCGGAAGTGGGGAGAGTGGAGTGGCAGGGGAAGATGTCCTACCAGTGTGGGTTCTGGAAGGATGACCAGGACTGGCAGGGATGATCTGGGTCTCTCGGGCATAAAGGTTCATTCTTTCCAGTGTCAGACCCTCTCTGGATGCATCAATACTGGGGAGAGAGGCTGGGTGGTAGCTGACAAAGTGAAGCAGGGGGAGGGAATCTCCCAAAGGAGGGCTGATGATGGACAGGAAGAGCTGATGATGGACAGGGAAGGGCTGATGATGGACAGGAAGAGCTGATGATGGACAGGGAAGGGCTGATGGATAGGGAAGGGCTGATGATGGACAGGGAAGGGCTGATGGATAGGGAAGGGCTGATGATGGACAGGGAAGGGCTGATGATGGACAGGGA